GGGGATCTTTTGTGCTCGAATTCAAACCCTACTTTCAACACAACAGGGGGTTCTGTCGCTCATGCTCAGCCCTGGTTTAAAAAGAACGGAAATTTGAAGCCACGTCCATGCTATATTCCTTAGCAAGTGTTGAAGCAAAGACTTGCCAAGTGCGGGTGCTTCAGTCAGAAAGCTGAACACATCTTCCATATGCCGCATGCCTCGGGGGCTAATGAATGAGAAACACCGCAGTACTACTGGACAACGGATCCATCCCATGACGACCCATGGATGACTAGCAAACCGTTGAGCCAACCTCGTGAGCTCGTGCATCTCACCGAGCTAAACTCGTCCATCCGACGACTGCTCGTTCTGAGTAGTCTTTCGTAGATGATTTCACCATGCGTTCAAAGGAAACCAGGTTCCAGTTGCATCACGTGGGAAACATATGGAAACATGACAAAAGTGGAACCTGACAAATAGCCACCCCTACAGTGCCTACAGTATGACTTTGGTTCATGGCGGCTACCCTTTGGTTCATCCCGTTCTGAGGATCACCCGCCTTGCTGGCAGCTAAAGCCTGCGGAACAGCTCAGCGTCGCGCCAAGAGACACCAGTCACCACCCTCAATACTACTATAGTGAATTGAGAGTAGATGGCACAGACCCCAAGGGGTGGTTTATATGGATCCCCATCCAAAGGAGATCATGGGGTCTGTGCCATCTACTCTGAAACCACTGTAAAGGAGAGGTCTCGTAGCACTGCCTTGCAAAGAACAGGTCCAGCAGGTACAGCTGAAGTCCCTTTTGTTTGAAGTCCAGTTTGATTCTAGTTCAGAACCTCCCAGCTAAGCTGAGAGGAGGGGACACTGCTCATTCGGGAAAGGCACATCGTTCAAAAAGTAAACAGTCTTGCGGAACTGGCTGATGGCAAAATGCCGAACATGTTTTCATATAGACATCTATAAACCCCAAGCACTAAACTACTGTTGATGGACGAAGTCCTGCATCACCTCACAATGTGGCTGTTGCAAGCCTCGTGCCCCCACATGCAATGTCCCAGAAGGTGGTGCAGGATTTCGGACACTAAGAGTGGGCCCAATGTCTTGGATTGGCTACCGGGAAAAATGTTCCCTAAGGGAACGGGATTCACACATGGGGAAACACATCTTAAGCAACACCAGGATATTAGAGGGGGAGCACGGGGGGAGGAAGAGAAACGCGTAGAAAGTGGTGCAGGATTTCCTTCATTGATTCATCAACCATGTGTCCATGGATGTTGCCTCATTTGGGTCCATAGTGGATGGTCACACACCACTGAAACCTCGTATCTCCTAGCGGAAGGCATCTCCTCACACCAGGAAACCGGCAGCAAAGCCCGTCTCCACCTTCTTCTGCTGTGTCTCACTGGTGGTCTTCGCTGCTTCATCCACGTCATCCTGTGTCGGACGAAGCTTCATTCACCGCGTCTGCCGACGCTTTCGCATGTGTGACTTAATTATCATGAATCAATGGGTCAAACTAGTCACCCTGGCCCCTGGCAAGAGGAAAAAAAAGCACCTGTCCATCACCAAATGAGAGCCTCAAGCTGGAGGTGAAATATCTATCGTCAAAAATTCTATCAACTTGTAGCCGAAGGCGACCAATTATATGAATAGCCTACCGTACCAAGTGGATAACATTGGAAAGACTGGGTGCGTTCCCTCACGAGGGTTGGTCCCACGTCCAGAATCCAAACTAGCTTGAAAAACGCCACTATCACTAAACAATATTGAATTGACCAATTCATCAGGCCACTAACACAACACAAAGAACATCCTTAAAAACTACCAGAACTTCCATGAATTTCAAATCTCGTGCGACCACATTCCCTGAGTGCCGAAGCGGTTGCCACCGCGGCTGGTGCCTTGAGTTGTCGAGCCTTGAAGAGGGCGCCCATGTTGGCACTGGCACCCTGCCGCTTGGCCAACAGCCTCACCAAGGGATGGTGGATTCAAAAAACACTTGGGATGGAGGGCATCCAAGGTGACCACCAGGCACAAGTTTCGAACAAGTTGCGTAGCCACCAGGCCCGATCCAGGATGTATGTAAACCACCACTGCATGATCCATCCTCTACCTGAACTCATTGCATGCATGCCTCACGCAAAGTAAACCACACTCTCGTAGCACCTGGGCCCCAGAGTCCCCGGAAGTCTGTCGTGGGCCAACTGAGTGAGACACTTTTTCCACATGAGCTCCATCTCCTGACGTGGTAGGCCATCATAGGTACATCTGGGACGCATATTATGGACCTATGGTCCTCTACATCAGTTCAGCTGCACCCGCAGCTAGTCTGAGTCTATTGGCAGCTTGGGTTGGGAGCAGCGACGCATGGACCACGTCGTGAGTCTTCGATCAAACCCCAAAGAACGGCAAACGTGGGGGTCGCCACGACCGCTCCTGTGACGGGGGGGCCCACGGGATGGTCCGCAAGTTGCGAAGCCACACATGCTGGGAAGCCGAACTCTGCCACAGCGTGCACCATTCACACCGTTGAGGTGTCTTACATAAGTGCCCGTGCATACATAAGTGCCCGTGCATGGACATGGATGCTGGTTCACAAGCTTCATTCACGGTGAGGGGCCCAGAGCTACAAAGGACAAAGTGCACCTTCCAAGTGGGGGTTGCCTTGGACACTCTTCACCAGGTTTCGAGACATGCATACTGAAATGTATTGCATACGATCTTCACCTGTCTTGGGATGGAAGGAGTCACCCACAATCCGCCGGCCTCTTGCAACGCAGCAGGATCCGGGCCGTCCAAGCTCTGGCAGGACCCTGCCTAGCCACATGAATTGTCAGGGCGAAGGCCAAATGGCTTTTATTATTGACTATGGCAAACAAGAACACTACACGGACTACACGGGACCCACTAAAACATAGAAGTGGAACACATTCTACAATTCTTTTCATATAGCATTCAGCATAGCAGTCTTCCAAAGGGACCTGCCATCCACTTCCATTTTAGTGAGCCCCAGCGAGCCGCGTCCTGTTCTCAACAAATCTGGTCGCGCTGTGATTGTTGAAGCTGACATCTTGAGGGACCCTGACCATCTTGGACCTATTCATGTCACTGGTTGTACCCCTCTTCTAACCACACACTTCAGCCATAATGATGGAGTTCCAGTGTGATTCGAAGCAGGTTTAACTTGTAACTCCAATGCGATCACAAGGACGACAAGGAGATCTCAACTCACAACAGTTCCTGGAAAAAAAACAACTCACTTGTCCGTATTGACTTTAGTTCCATGGTCACCCACCCATTCCGCCTCAGCACCATGGTCAAGGGCGGAATCTATCTATCGGGATGCTGCCACTGTTGAATCAGAGGAAAAATCAGGAAAAATGGTTTGGCACTTCAGAAATCAACTCCTCGGCTCTTCAGAAATCAACTCCCCGGCTCTTCAGAAAAAAGAAACCAACAAAAAAATGTTTGCCATCAAGTGATTCGATTCACGGTGACCAGCGAGCCGACTCATCGGCTGGGACTCCGAGCCTTCCGAAGGCCTCAGTTCTCCAGGGCCCCGGACCTTCTTGAGCTCCGGCTCATCTCCAAGCGCCTCGGCCAGTGAGGATGGAAGGTCGGAGGCTGGTGGAAAACCTTTTGAGCTCAGAAAACTCATTCAATGAAACAAGTTGCTTGCATGGAATGTTCACATTCGGTTCAGGGACAGAATCCCTGAATCTCATGATTGCCTGCATGAAGGCGAAACGGTTCAACTAATATCATAAGTAGCTTTTCCTGTTGCGGATGATGAGCGGCCCTTCTTTGGTTGATTTGTGTGTACTTATTGCCAATGTCCGCCATAGAAAATGAACAGGGAGTATAGATGACTATAGACTCGATAGTGGTAGTGTTGTGTCACCTTTCCATATCCCGAAGTGAGCCAGAGTCTCATCATATACCCACATGTGGCCGCCCATGCAGGTCAATAAACAAATGATGATATATAAACTGCACCTAGACAATCACATACAATATAGCTCACGAGTGTCCAAAAGTAGATTAGGATGGCCACTGTAGAAAAAAGTGGGAAAAAAAGAGTAGGAGATGTCTACACTCCAAAGCGCCTTGACAGAGTCAACATAGCTCCCCCTCTCAGATCGACGATCGAAGCACTGCCGTGACTACTTGGTCCACCGTCGGCGTCGTTTCAGGCTCCGGCTGGCACATATTCTGCTGGCCCAGCTGACTTTGTCGCACCTGACTCCGTGCAAAAAGGGAAAGCACTTCGCTTCTGTTGGGGTCAAGCCACAATAATTGTATCCAGGATGGCTTTCCCAAGAACATGGATAGCTGGTGATACATCGGATACATGATTATCCTGAGATCACCTCTCAACCCTGAAATCGCCTCACTGTCCTTCTTGGACGCCTCGCTTTCGTCCCAGGGGCCCGCCCCCGTGCCAGGGCTCCACACCAAGACTCTCAGACTCCACGCCTTTGCCCTGGCAACTCTCCGCGCGGTCGCGCGGTCGCGCGCGCGCGCGACGGTGCGCTCCACACGGAGACTCCGGTGGTGCAGGCGCCTCGATGTGGGCACCAAAGCATCCTGAAAGCATCAACCCTCCGCATCCCCACCTCAGCGTTGAAGGAGCTGAGAAGCCTGAGCGATGAACAGTGGAAAGCAGTGGAACCGGGCTGAAGAACTCAGCTGCGCTCCAGAGACGACGCCCAAATCCCTTCTGAGCGCCAGCACCCCATACCAGTCGCCGTGGGGCCTCGGCCGCTGGCTGTTCCGCCGAAGGGGTCGTGTGGCGGAGGTGGTCGTGCTCTGAGAGGACCCAAGCACAACGTTGTAACCCAAAAGATGAGCAAATACGCAACGGAATGCAACGGTGGAATCCGAACATCTGCAATCTTCTATCTCCACCTTGTCAGTTCGCTACGACGAAGTCCTCGATCTTCCCCCAAAACCGATTCGTCGAAGTCATGATGACGTATGGCAGCCCGTCTCCAACACACGGCATCAACACTTTTTTGGCCGCTCTGGGTTGATGCTCCAGCCGCCTGCGGACGAAGGGCAAGGAAACTTGCAAGGCATAGGCATAGAATCATGCAAGGCTCTTTCTGCGAATGCCACCCTTCTCCTTTTCCTCTATATATATATATCTCTCTCTCTCACTCTGTCTCCCCATCACGGCTGGTTTGGTGATCGAACGACCTCCATCGAAACGTGGCCATAGCATCGGCAGCCATTCAGGGTGAAACCCACTCATGCAGCCCATCGGCTGTGCAATTCCAGAACATCGAACAGGCAACTGAGCGTCTTGTTTTCCGGGGGCCTCGTTTTCCGGATTGGACGGCGGCTCGCTGGACACAGAAGCATCTACTCTCTCCGGTGATCTTTCGCCACATCTGACAGGACCTTCACGGCAAACCTCATCGAAGCGGACAGTGCTGCTCCGGCATCCAAAGGTATCAGCTGCATGTCGTGTTTGCCGTTTGTCCTGTGTCCATCTGTTTCCTGGGGTTATTCTTTGGCAAATGGTGTAAGAATGGCAAGACTGAGGATGCAAGAGACAAAAATTGCAAACGTTCTTACAAATCCTCATGGACATTCTCCAATTCTCATCCCTTTCTCCAATGAATCTAGAGCATCACAGAACGCAAACTTGCAGGCCCACCATGTTCTGTTGCACCTGCTTGGAGAGTCAGGATCATCTGAAAATTGGGGTTCCATCCACCTAGCAAGCCACCAAGTCCTTACTTCGTATGCGCATCCACCTATGCGCATGGCCCATGCGGGTTTGGGCGATTCACTCCACTAAGACCCTGGAACCGTGGCCCATGTGACTCAAGAGGGTCGGCCTATGGAACCGCAAGGCGGTACTTCACCACAGTCCCAAATTCCAAGGTCTGAGCAGCTGTGGTACTTCAAAAAGAGTACCAAATTCCAAGGAGAAAGGATGAACACATGTGCAAAAATGGTTGACGACATTTATTTCTACGACATCACAAGTCCACCAGTCTACTCGCTAGAATGCCGAAAGTGGATGACCTCAGTGGCATCTGACCCACCCCGGGTGGCCGCCGCCATCGCCCAAAACCACCCGGTCTTCCGCCGGGTCACAGCCCTCCAGCGAGCACGGTGGCCCCTTGAAGGCTCCGCAGCAGCAATGGAGTCAAGTGAGGAAGGACCCTCAGCCGGACTCTCAGCCTTGTAAAACCTACCCTCTTCAGATTCGTTTTGGAGCCATATTGTGGTTGGAAGAACATGACGATGTTCTGGTTGCGCCTACACACACATGTGCACGTATAATATTATATATAGCATGATTAGATAGTATAACTTTATCTTCACAATATTCATGAACAATATGCACACGGATGTACACAGTACGACATTCCAGCTACGACGGATCTCACCAGGTGGGGATCTCGACATTCCAGCTCTGTGGGTTATTGGACGCCGGAAGCGAGGCAGCACGCGACCAAAACGGCTCTGCGATGAAGAGTTCGACCTGGACTTCGTTGGATTGCCCCGCTGTGCCTTTGCGTACCCCAAAAAAGTACCACATGTAGCATCATGCATCTATTAGTGACACCTGGACCAGCATGCTCGGAATGCAATGGCCAAATCACGAGCAGTATGCGTAAAAACATGCGTTTTTCTGACCAATCCATGCTCGTCAAGAGGTGCTGGGGCTCTGTGATATATTGGATCCATGGTTCACCGAAACGCACGGACTGCACGGACTGGCGACGTCCACCGGGTTTCTTCACGTCCACACGAAGTCAGAAGGCGGTCAACATGGATTGCCCTGTCTGGAAGCCTAGGCCGGTTGGGGCTGGGGTAGTCCAGCCAGGACACCCGGACAGGAGGGTCCAGGTACAGGTTCAAGGGCGGAGATGCCTGTTGCACTCTCTCGCGGCATCGCCGCACGTCGAAATCCAGCTCCAAGAGTCTGATATCCATAGAGGCTTTGCCACACCACGGCGCTGGCAGCTCCAAGAGCATAACCTGAGGAGGTCCAAGAACTTCCCCGGCCGGTCCAACAACTACCCCATCCGCTCCAGGTCGACTCCGTCCGCTCCTGCGGCGGACCTTTTCTTCTCTCACTGCGTCTCCAGCGCATCTTCATGAGCTTCCTGGGACGGCACCAGACTACCGAAGAAGAAGACCCCAGCACCCACCAGAGCAGCCGCCTGGAGGTCGATCATGGCCCAAGGGCCTCACAGAATCGACCGAAAAGCATCGGTGAACATCTGGAAACGGCTTCGCCAAGTTGCAGAAACCTGTGAATCCGGTGTCCCCACGAAGCCTCCCCCCCCAAAAAACAAACATGTACAAACAACAAAGAATGGGCATGGAGAGAGGTTTTGGGTATTTGGTTGGGATGTCATGTCTCTATAGGAGTCACGCTCGGCCGATAGGCCCACATCAATATGCATCCCGCATACATCCAACCTTAGATAAGGTCCTATGTCCTATGTGGTAGCACCTCTGGAATATAAATTAAGTTGAGTACCGAGACCTAAAATTGTAGAAGCTATACCTGGATCCTCCTTTGGGCGGAAAAAAGGTGCCGGACCTCAATCCGGCAAAATTTTCCGCCGGATTCCGAAAAAGACGCCGGAGACCTGAAAAAACATCCGGATCCAAGATTCTGAAAAACAGAGATGATAAAAGGTTGGATCATACACAAGGAAACTGCCTTTGCGCCGCGAGTAGTTTTTCTGGAGCGCACTCGAACCTTCCCGTTCCCATTGCCCTCGCCCATCTTGCGAATGGCCTAAGAGCAAAACCATCACACAATATAAGCAACTTGTGCCCAAGCAAAGACTTCCAAGAAAAAACCAAGGAGTACGTGGCAAGGAACCCCTCTTTCTCTGCAACCGTGTCTCTAAAGTGTTTTTTTACAAAGTGGGCTGCTCTCCATGATTCTTATGCTTCTCAATGTTTCATGAAAGCTTGCCTCAGGACGGCCCCCCAATAAAGTAGTAGCAGAACTCATGGTTCCTGTCAAAACTTTTCTGTGAAAAACTGTTCACAATCAAAGCCTGCAGAAGACTGTCCAAAAAAAAATACGCCGGAGGTACGGGAAATTACGCCGGAGTTACGGGAAATTACGCCGGAATTACGGGAAATTACGCCGGAGTTACGACGTGCAATTTTTTGACAACTCTCTGCCAAACATTGAGATTCTGAACAACACATGTTCCACAGCCCGAAACTTGTCCGGCAGGCTCTGCAAACCTGCGCAGCTAGAACTATATCCCAGCGCCCCGACATCCTGAAACAATGGGAGAACATTTTTGCCTATGCTCTTTCAGCTTAGGTACACCCACTTGGGTCTTTCAACAGGTGCATCGCACTGTACCGGCTTCATCCGATTTCATATAGAAGATCACCCAAACGGATCTGATTGATCCAGTGTGAACCATGCTGAAGCCGGTGGAATGAGAAAACAGCGGAACAGGCAAACGAGCACACTTTGCAAACAAAATCATTGCATCAGTAGTGGGTTTACCTTCAAAGAAATGCAGACCACAAAGAATGCAAAGCCTTGAGAATCCACATAAAGTGACTTGGAAAAAGCGCCGGACCAAATCCAGAAAAACGCCGGAGTTGGAAGTCCGGCGCCGGACCCTGTAAAAGTGCCGGACTGAAGATCTAGGTATATATATTTTGCAAGTCTAGACATGTTCTCAATTTTTTCGGTGCTGGGGAATGATAACTATTTGGACCTTTAGCTAAGGATTTATCAATTTATGTTTCACAAATGCATGTTGTCAGAAGAAATTATCGCCTGCGGTCAGTAATTGGGGGGATACCTAGACATACAGTGAAACAGTTAATTAGATGTTTGAACAACACACACTTTAGGTAGGTGTCCCTACCCCTGCAATAATTTACTAAAGTTGAGGATGAGGGTATTCATCCCACACTGGAAGTATGTACCCTGTGTGTTCTTGACCACACCATGTTTACCGTTTACCAAAGGTCCAACAGTCCAACCCTTCGCCCTCTGCCATCGGTCCGTCGCGCCATCGCGACGACGTGTCGACGTCCGTCATCGTTTCGTCGTTTCGCATGGACGTGGTCCCCCAATTCATAGTGCACGGTGTCCAATACATTGTTAGGGGGATGTACAGAGTCTTCTATCTATTGGGAGGTCTATGTACGTCATAGTACGTGTTCCTACTTGCAATCCCCTGGCGGAAAAAGTCCCCAAAACGAGACCATCGCCTGAGTGGATCAATGTTTGTGTCGAGAGCACGCCATAGATCGAAGGCAAAATGCTCTTGGCACAAATCTCCACTGAGGCAGCCATGCCTGCGCAATCCTCCAAGCAGTGGAACCATGCAAAGCGGGATACCTCCACTCAGTTGGGTTGATGACCCTCAAACGTTGTGGGACCGGTTCCTCTGCAGCCTAGTCGGCCTGGTCACAAGCACAGGCAATTGACCTAGTCGGAGCTGCTTCTTCCTACCTACCGAATCTGACCGACGCCTTTCCTGTCCGAACTCTAAGAACGAACAAAACACCGGACCATGCTCATGCACCAAGTGGATGAACTGAACATTGAATGCATGAACACATGCCTTGATATGACTTGCATGAATTGTCTTATTCCAGCAGCAATGAGATTCCTCCAGGAATTTGCAGGTAAATTTAGGAGCGAATCGGCACCATTCACTGTGGCGTGCCCCTCTCCCCTCGTCTCTCCCATCTCGACCCGCGTCGTCTCCTGCAAGGGCTCCATGAATAAAACATTCACCGTCACCAGCACCTCAAGAACTGCTGGGGAGAAATCAGGGCACAAATCCACCACAGGCAGCTTCCTTGAGCCATCCACTCAAAGAATCACCTTAAATCTACTGAACTTCCTTGTTCTGGCAGGTCCCAAGTGACCAAGAAGTTCAACCCAAAATCCAAGAAGCCAACGTTTCGCCCCAAACAGCCACCGCGACCCGAACGGTTCGCAAGACCCCATCCCCCTCTGCAGGAGAGCGTCTTCCGAGTTCGGGTTGGCGTCTATGCCGAGGCACAAGAATCGAAAAAAAGGCCTGCAAGAAGGTGCCCAGCAAGTAGGCCCAGAAAAGCTTTGAGAAGAAACTTCCAACGATGAAGAGAAGTAGCCCAGTGGAAGCATAGAGAGATGCAGATATTTTGGCAGCTTGAAGCACGCTGCCAAACTGAAGACGTTCCATCACAAATAAGCCAAGAAAATTCATGCCCCCAAATGTCAGCATGGCCACTGAACATGTCATTGCGGAGCGGCCATAGCTTACTTCAGTAAGATAGCTTATATTTGACCAGAATGTCATGAAGGCTGCCATGTTGCAGGTCTCGGTCATTAGCAAGCAAACCAAACGGAAACGGAAGATCCGGGAGATCCCAGTGAAGTAGCTGTCTTTCTCCCCATCAGGGCAGCTCTCAACCATTCTGGCAGCACGGGGTCTTTTGTGCGGTTCTTCTGCCCGAACCCCCGCGATGGCAGTAGTAATTATATAGATATATATAGATGTAATTAGTTAAAAGTTTCAATATTTCGTCTCACAACATCTCACGAACAGTTGAATTCTTGCCAAGCGGTCATGACCCGCCTAGCAAAGGCAAAGCACCCTAGGAAGCCCCAAAGCACCGACAAGGTCAAGAAGGAGATCCGCCAGCCAAGGGTCTCCGCCATCCAGCCACCGATCACGGGTGACACCGACATGCCGCCGGTGGACATCAGCTGCAGGGCAGCCACCACCACATAGCGATCACGGTTTTCGGGAAAGTAGTCTCCTGGGCTCCAGCGACCACCAAATCAACCAAAAACAAGACCGAGCGTGGGAAGGGTAGCACAGAAGGCAAGGAATTGCAGTATGGAGCACTGCAGATCTGTTGCTCATAAACCAGGTTTGGAGCGTCACGTCGGCGACTTCACTCACATCTGGGTGTGGGACAGGGCCGCCCTGTAAGTCACTCATGCTTGTGTAAAGTCACTCAATCTTCATGGGCAGGCATGCGAGAATGCGACGAATGTTCTACCAGGAGCCAGGTCTAGAGTTTAGACTAATTGTTATATATGTAGAGCATTTGCCCAACTAACAAGGCTGCTAAGGGAGTTGTTATCGAAATATACTGTATAGATTAGATCGAACTCGAGCCCAAGTCATGAAGGCCTGGCTCTGTCCAGTTGGTCTTAAGCGCTTGGGGTTCCGTGCCCGGACCTGGAACAAACCTGCCCAAGTGGAAAAGAGTCTGAGCCATCAAACCTGCCATGAATGTGTCGGACAAATGTTCAGCCGCCGTAGTACCAGTTGATATCAATTCATCTTCATCTGGGTGTCAAATACCGGACACAAACAGACCTCCGCCATCTGTCCTTTCTTGGGCGGGGCACCTCTTCTACCTCCCAAACAGGCGCAACTGTGCCTCCCACGGCCCACTGCCACCCCACGGCGTGCCCATCACCGATGCGGCCGGGCCACGGACCATGGCAAAGACCACCGCCTCAGCAGACTCGCCCATGCCCTGCAGGATCCGCGCAGCGATGAAGCACTCGATCGTATCCGCACTGAAGCAACAGAGGGAAGCTAAAGAGAGCAGCAAAAGGCAGGTCAGGAGCACTGGCCGACGGCCAATGCGATCCTGGGGCGTGGAACACGTAATAACACGTACGGCCAATTCGTACAGTGAAACTCATGCATCTGCTGTTGCAACATGGGAACAACATGGGAACAACTGAGTACTTTTTTGGAGGTGGTTGGAACATCTTTCAGGGACGTGCCATCAAACGGGATTCCATCTTGGGTGCCCGACTCACGATGGCAAAACACAAGATTTGGGATGCATTGAAATAGGAGAGATCCAAAGACTACCTTGCAAAAAGAAAAGCTAATACATGCTAATACTATAGACTATAAACTGAAAATTGGCACGTTACATCTTTTTCTTTTTTTGTGCCAAGTTTCTGATAAGCTCGCGGCCACGAGGCCCGACAGACCTTTCACCACAAAGTTCATCTGTATTGTGGCACTCATCAGCGCCTGAGATCCATGGAGGTCAATCTCCATTCGGGGAAGGCAAGATGCATACCTTGGAGCTGCAGATTTGGGGTGGCATGATCCATGAGGCGCAAAATGCTTGGGGATATTCTCCCCACATTCTGGTGAAGTGCGGAAAGCTGTTGATAGTATCGCAAACAAGCAGCCCCATCTTTCATGAAAGGGTATGGCACAGGACCATGCCAGGTTCCTTCACCGACGGAAGCCTCAGGGTTGAACAACTATGTATCCTAGGCTGCTGGTATGGACTTCTGGGGAACTTCCGATAAAGATAGGCACTTTGTCATGTGCAAGAGACTGATCCGTAGTGAAGAAGGTCAAGGTGTAGACGACTCCCATGAAAACCAGCCAGCTGAGCGGACAGCCAAGCCTTGTGCTTGGATCCTGCGGTGGTTTCTCAGGCAGCCCAGCACCGCAAAAGTAGATGAAAAGCAGCGAAAGGCACAGCAAAATGCCAATGGCAAGGTTCCTGCTGAAGCGCCCCAGCCCATTCAATCCAACGGGCTCATGGAGGTCAGGCGCTGCAACCTTTGAGTTTCGAGGCTTTCGTTTGTTCACCTCCATCAGTTTGTGGCTTGTGCTAAGAGACCCGCTGGACAAGGGAAGGGCGTTGCTATGATACGCAAATGGCGTGCCCATGTATGCGGTCACCTGCAGAAAGCTGGGATCCACATCTTGCAGCTCCTCGGGTGGAAGCTCCTGACATGCCGACGTCTCACAATGCCCAAACGGCCAAGTGCCTTCACTGGAGACGAAGCGGATCCCCAGGCCCAGCCTAGGCTTGCTGGAAGGTAGGCAGCGGCGTCCCCCCAAAAGAACCCATGGTAACTAGAACCCATTTGACCATTGCTTTGAAGATGAAAAGGTTGTCTTGATGTCTTGACATTTCACTTTAGATCTGTTCTAGGTAGTTAAACCATCTCCCAAACATGTGGAAACTTACATAACTTACGGGCCTCCAATGAAGTGTTTCTGTTGGCTAAAAATCTTCCAAATCACGTCTGCAAGAAGTTCTCTCTCTCTCTCTCTCGTTTGGTTCGGGTTGCCGGCTGCAAGTATCATATCTCTCCGGACTACTGAGCACATCCACCATTGGGCTCTGATCTCATGGATGAGTGCGATATACAGGTACAACAGGGCTTCCATCGGCCTGTCTGTGTAGAACATCTGCATGGAGAGAATGAGAGAAGGAGGAGAGCGAGAGAGAGAGAGAGAGGGGACAAATATACTGTTATGCTGACATAGACCCCACCAAGGACAAACATCAGAGTACAGGAGGGGTGTTCAATGGAATGTTGTTTGAGCCTGTTTTACCTGTGCAGCGTCGCCGCATGGTCGCACAATGCTTTCTTAATAAGGGCGCCAGTGATCGTGTGATACTGCTTTGGAGTGGTTGGTCTCAAGCTCATTCACTTGAGCTTAGCTTAGTCTTGGGTGTGGAACGCCCAATTCACTTGCGCCATTTTTGCCAAATTCCTTCGGCGTCTATGGGACAATGGGCCCTGTAAGGTCTATACGTCCATACGTCTATAATAGTCTATACCATATGTTTGGGAGGGCACGTAGACAGGAAGGGGTGCAGCATCAAATGTACCAATGTGCTCGCCCGAAGTATGCAACAATCCCCCTTGACCAATAGCTCCCAAGCGGCAAGATATGAAACCATGGTCGGGAAGCCCATGGCATTATTTCAGTAGCGGCCACACCGAAGGGGCTCAATACTTGAGCCTCTCAAATGCAAAGGTACAAAGCCACTACCGTGGTGCGAGCAGCAAATGGGGCTGGGTCAATCGATGGGCCTTGCAGTTTCTCTCGGTCGTAGTGTGCGAGAGCCTAAGAACCCCCGTACACAACCATGTCTGGTCTCTTCAAAGAAGCTACCCAGGCTTCAAGTTGTATGCCCTTATTATGTATGTTCATTGCCTAAGAAGCTTGTAGTTAAAACCCCTTTCATCACCTTTAGTTAGCTGGCAATGACGACCCATATCCCCAATCTGAAAACTTACTCTCCCCTCTCCGTTTGAATTAGATTTCAGGTCATCTTGGCTCGTGCCTTCGGGTGATCCCTGGCCATTCGTATACGTATAAGTCATTGGCTCTGCCAACACTCTACCGGGCTTGCCCCCAGCATCAGCTGGTCTGTCCGTCCACTGCACCAGATGGTATCAATGAAGGTCCCCTGTTTTCAGATCGCCTACAATAAGTCATATAGTTACAATACATATATATATATTTGTGATCAGGTCTGGTCAAGTATCCGGTAGACTGTAGTATGAACTGCCTTTCTTGGATTGTATGCACCAAAGATTTGTATCACCTGGTCCATGCAACTCTCCCCATGACATAGTTTGGAGCCCCTAATTACTTCTCATTCACCATGAGACAAACTTGCAGAACACTTAGCCATGCTCCAAGGAAGAGCGGCTGAAAGTGTTAACTATGTAACCATTTGCTTCACGGATCTGGTCTTCGCACAGAATGCCAGCTCTGATCGTCGCCAAGCCACCGACGGCCACCTGTGCCGTAGTGTGGAATCCCATGGCGACGCGCAACCAGGAGCCGAAGAGCCCGCCAGCGACCAACATGCCCGCCCAGGCGGCCCGCCCGGAGTCGGTCGGTACGCGCTGCGCGGGGCCGGAGAATGGGAAAGCCACATCCAGGGCGAAGTAAATGGAGAGGAATCCTGGACAAGTTGGAGGACATGTCAAATCAACCAAGGAACTTGAAGTTTGGCACCTGACAAAAATCGTCTCTGAAATGGAGATCTTTGAAGAGATCAAGGTTGTGGATGGTTGTGGGCAGGACCTGTTGGAAGCCTGCAGCTGAAGTCAAACTGTTCATCCAATATCAAACGCGAAATAACGCGAACCTTCCAAGATTGGGGTTCCAAGCTCAGCACTCAATGAAATTCCACAACCCCGGCCACAGCCTGTGCTTGTGGACCAGTGACATCACCAAGGTACCATGAATGAACTAACACACCCCGCCCAGGGACACGAGCATCCATCGCCTGTCCTAGGCTTTGTGCATGAGACGATGGCATGCCTCGGTGGGACGACCGACAGGAGGTGGAACGGAGACCCACTCGCATGGATGATGGTGCCGAAGCGGAGGTGCCCAGCCCGGTTGCCACCTGCTACAGCATGCATCGTTCATGCAAGTCCTCGTCTGCATGGTTTTGTGACCCCTCCAAAGTCCTATAGTCGCCATTCCAACAGGGAACAATCATATAGTGACCAGGATTGACCCGGGGGCGCGTATCAACGCTCTGCAATACATCTCATCTTTCTGGTTGAATCAACCGTTTTCGCATGACGTGAAACACAACTCGAAGATCCTGAAACATCCTGCAACAAGGAAATTCCCAGGACTGCATCTGTCTGTTGAAAGTCTCAGGTCCTTCGTCTATTGTCTCAGAGCTGCCAGGGTCCACCTTTCGTGCCCCCCGTGGCCGCGACTGGTTGATGAGGACCTGCCAGGAAAAGACTGGAAAAGCAGGAACATCAAAACCCTGCTACTCTCAAGGGCTGGCTTTTGGAGGTTGAGAGTGCCGCATGTTTCGCTGGTATCCAAAACCCTGCCACCCCTTTGATCCCTTTCACGCCAATTTTGGACCCCCTTCGGTCTTCGTCTTTGCGCAGGGGATTCCTTGTGCTTGGACCTGCGGCCAGGAGTACATGAAGGCACCATGATTCACACCACCACTGCATGTCTCTGCGCGAATCCACCGGAGTTTCTCAAATCCTACTAGTATGGGCCCAAACAACTTCCACTGACACTTCACTTCTGCTTCGTTCTGCAAAGTGTCTGTGCCCATGGCTGGAATACAAGTGAACCCGTCGCAGGTTAGAAGCAGTTGAGATTCCGATCTAGCCACAGGCACCGTAAACCAAACAATTCGTTTTTCTTCTAGACGCAGGAGGTTGACGGAGGTTCATTCCATTGCTCCTCCGCAGGCCACGCCTTCAAGCATTTACAGTTCGCCGCGGCACCAACGGAGCCAAGGACGCACCAGCAAATGGCCTATGAAGCAGCTAGTAACAATCGGGGGCAGAAGAAGACCACTCAACAATCAGTTCCTAGATGTTCCTACCATGGCCACCTTAGGCAACCTTCAACAGTGGCATACTGTGTCATAGCCATACCCTGCAAGTCCAGTTAGTGCAAGAAACCCTGGTTGCCAACCAAATCCGATCAAATCCGTAATTGTTTCACGGGGGCCTTGTGGTGGGGGCCCATGCAAAATATATAGCCCTTGACTTGTCGAAGTGAACTAAGTCGTGACCGGTGCCCGTCGCGGACGAGCGATTGACCAAAGGTTGGCACTGGCCTTACTTCCTGCAACAAGGTCAGCGGTGTGCAAACTCAGGGCGATAGATTGGTCAGCGAACACACACCAGCAAGATTTCCAGTTGGGTGCGTGAACTGGCCAGGTGAGCCAATCTACTGGGAAAGCTTCCCTGGTTTTCCCACATCCATGACAATGGCTCTTAACTATCACCTATACCTGATCGAATGGGACATTGCAGCTTCTGAACACAACATGTGCCGGTTGGCTGCGTCTCCAATCTGCCAAAGGCCGAGTGGCACTATCCTGCCGCCACAACAGCACGCCAAACACAGCGCCCGACACGAGCCACTTCGTCCCCGCATCGATGTGATGCAACAGGCCATGACCCATGGAAGCGCAAGCAGTTCGGCGAGTTCGGACCTAGTTGCACATGGGGTACGTCGATGATCAATTGTGAAAGCCTCAGTGGAACTTGACTCCTAGTAACTGTTTGCAAACGTTGTTGGACTGGGGCAGGGTGCGCACTAGCAGCTGTCTAGCAGCTGGCACCTACGGCACCAAGGCAAGCGTGTGACAGCATCTGTTGAATAAAACATGTAAGACCAAATGCTTGCGAAAGATTTCGGACGTGGGAGTAGCATCATGCTCTTCCAAGTGCGGGCTTCTGGCCGGGTGATCTTTCTGGTGATCAGTGAAAACAATACAAGAGCTTTTTGAGCCTAAGTGTCATGCTGTCCCTGAATGGAGCAAATGATCAGGACTTCGGCCGGAGCAAGTACCCTTCAACCATCTTCAACCCGCCAAGGGCCAGCACAAGCAGTACTGACAACTGGCGGAAGTACAAGTATCCCAGTGCTTTCAGGAAGTCACATGACATTGCTCGCATGTGGTTTCGACATGGAATTCCACGAGTAAACATTTCAGCCTTGCTCTAACACTAGGCTCGGACCGCCAAACTTGCCCCACACAAACTGTGTCAACCTAAATATATACTGTACGTCTTGGGAAGGAATTCAAGATTAAGGACCCGAACCAAGTAAGAAGATCAGCGTCCAGGGCACTAATTTGCTTTTTTGCAGGACACAAAAAGCCCCCCAAATGGTTTCATAGTACGAGTATGTATGTTTAATTATAGCCAACCTGGAATAGAACATGTCATGAACCAATCTACACACATGACCAGTGTCCGTCTTGTTTTGTCCATATTCTATCTAGTCCAGGATGACTATACATCATTGATGGTCCAGTGGCTTTTGGCCTCCGAATGGTGTCCTAATCAAGTACTGCATGTAGCGGCCAAGGCCTCCACTGACACAGGGCATTGCACATGTCGCCTTTTGCCCCCCCCCCACACCCCCCAAAATCAAACAAACAAACAAACACGGACCATCTTCTAGTTCACATTGGGGTGATCTTCAAAGAAAGGAACACCTTAGTCTAAGTGAAACCTACACAGCTTCCGATCGTGTCCTCCGGTGTCCTCCGGGTGCCCGCACTGCCCAGTGGCCGGGTCGGCCGCGTCTCGGACAGCGCTGTCTTGGGCCTTGGAACCCGAAACCGGGCTGTCAGACGGCCTGTGGTTTGGAAGAGGAGGCAGTTCTAGAAGCATCCAGCTGCAAGTTCTGGATGATCAGATATGCAACTCTTCACCCTCCCGATCAGGGGAAACATCGTTATTATGATAGTAATTAGGATGTCATAGGATGTCATTAGATCTCAAGTGGTGCCAAGGTTGGTTCAGCAGCACCCCTGTGTGACAGCGATTTCGCTAAACGTGAGACTTCCACAAGCTATGTGATGTAAGCATCATTGCATCTATTATAATAAGGTTATAAACAGCCATTCATTGTATCAACTCAAGAAAGCCAAGAGCCTGAAATTCTAGGATCCACGATCCCTCCTGATTAAAATGTGTAGCCAACATGAGCTATCCTCCTGGGAGTTCTCGAAAGTTCCACTCAGAAGGATGCTCACCTGTTTGGCCCTTGTGCTGGCAAACGGGTCATACATCTGAGAACCGGTTACTGGTGTTGATAGGTTTTAGGAAAACAGGAGAGCGCATGAAACTGCCACTCTCCAATGGAAACAAAAAGCAAAACATACGACTCCCATCTTTATACCCCGGATGCCCTTCAGATCCCTTCGCGCCCCAATATGCACCAAAAAGCAAACTGCATGCAAACCATCTTCTGGGGTCTTCATCTTCACTGACCAAAAACAAGCACAACTCCAGAAAGTGACGGCGCCAGGGCGACTTTGACCCTCAAATCACATGCACGCGCGTCTTCGCGAACCCCGTGCGATCGATGTGTGAGGAGCGGATGGGCTCCTCGCCGAGATTTTTGTCCCTCCGGCGCCAGACTCGTTGCCGCGCAACACACTCAAGCCTAACCACCAGTGTTCTTAAAGGATGACGAACACGTGACCTCCATCGGATGTTGAAAAACATGCTGAACTTCGATCTGGTGCCCCTCAGTCTTCCACTGCCTGGGCCATGAGCCGATGAACCCTGCTGACTCCCCGAGTCTCTGCTGTGGAACAAAAAGGGTTCATCAACCTTTCTCACCTGGCGATTTGCAATGGGAAAGCCTCATCATCCCCCGGAGGTTTATATGTGTTCAATTTCAATCTTTCATTTCTTTCCTGGGTTGACAGGGGTGGTAAATGTGGCCTCCATGAACCAGCCAAGGTGTGATGGAGGCAGTCACCTTATGATTGGGTTCATTACTATCACATGGGCAGGGCACAAATATCTACAAATCTCATCAAGGCCTGGAACTCTGTCTGAGGCTTCTTTGGAGCAAAGCAGATGGACCACCACAAACCCAACGTCTCTCCAACGCCTCGCCCGAAGAAGGACGGCGGGTGGCTGACACATGCTCACGCCCCCCACCAAAGCTCTGGGTTGGAGCTCTGTATTGAGATAGGGGGCCGAGTATTGCATGGAGTCCAGATCCACCTCTGAGATCTCTGCATTGAGCACCTCAGCAGGCATGTTCTGGCCAGATTCTCCAGCTGTCAGGGCGAACCGGATTATAATTAATTATTATTAGAGGTTGCACACCCATTGGGCATACTGTCGTTGCCTTCCTTCTGGAAGCTCACTCTCGTTCTTTGTCAGCCCAGCCTCCACCAAACGTCCATCTGCAGATTGTGGCAGGAGGCACCAGCGCTTATAGCCTCGCCCAGAGTCCTTTTTGATGCACGGCAGTTCTGAGAGGCTGCCCAGCCAACGAGGAACCTGCAGCATCAATCGCCGACAGGTCCGGGTGGACCAGGATCTCGGCACCTCGCGGGTTTTCACAGGTCGGCACTCGGGAGGTGAAGCAAAGTGCATAGTTAGTTGGTTGAAAGGGCCGTTCCTGAAGAAACCTGCAGATTTTGGCCCCATCCCAAGTTTTCAGAGACGGGCATTTCAAATGTCTGGCCATTGGTGGTGGCATATACGGTCCGAAGCAAAGGTCAACTAGCAGCTAGTTAGTCGTGCTTTGAGTGTTTCTCTTTCTCCCTCTCTCTCTCTCTCTCTCTCTCTCCCCCTCTCCTGGACATACCTCAAGGAGGGAATCTACCACACTGCCAGTCTTCTTCTGCAAACCGCTGGCGTATGAGCACGCTTCTTATCGCGTTGGCAGCGTTCTTTGCAAAGCGCTGCTGACCTACTGGAGCAATTCGACGTCAATAGCCCCCTAATTAATTTGGCCCACCCGTCTGATGAAGAGATTCAGTTTTGGGGATCCCTGCTCATGAAGAACTGGGGGAAGGTTCCACTCTCAAACTGGCTGGACCTGCTATTCATATATGCCTTCTGGAGGTGGTGGGCCCTAGGCCTCACATTACAACCATTTGACCCTCGTCCTTCCGCCTGTGTTCTCCTTTGGCCCCCCGTCTTTTCCCGGAACGCGCCCGCGGTTGGACGCCAGGAATGCCTTGACCTTGACGCTTGAGACCATCCGGAAGAGCCACTTATAAGGCTGTGTCTTGATTGTGCACTCCTGCAGGTGCTGCATGGTGCGAACATATGTGCAAACAAAAGAAGCAAATCTACTCGACAATTCTTGCAGCATGGAACAAGCTGGACCCCATGACCACTTGGTTGCTTGGTTGGTTAGTTGATGTGATATGATCTCCAAAAGTCATGGATCCTCTCAGACCCACTATCTTTGCCACATCTCATCAGCATTCTGTCACCCTTTTCTTTTGAGGGCCAGCTGCAGGGTCGTCCTGCATGGGATCAATCTGGCTTCCAAAGAGTTGTCCACAACGAAGACAGCGGACCATTGAACTGCCTCTGACCCGAGCCAAGACGGGGCGAACGAAGCAACGCCCTCCGACGCCGTCGCGTGATGGGCGCCAATGGCAGCATCGCGGCAAACCACATGAAACCACGGAAGACAAAAATCGACAAGTCTGGACTCTGGACATGTCGCCTTCCAAATCTTGTTCACAAACAAAGCCATGTCCCGAATTCGCCATGGGCATCACACATCGGGTCTTGGACTTGCTGATCTTTTCCACCTGCGCGGAGCCATGCGCTAGGCCGCTCCGCTGCGGCGATCCAAACGGAGCGGGGACGATGAACATGATTCTCCGTACAGCTCGTGGATCCAAACAATATCAAACAACTACTCAAACAACTATACAGCCCCCCAAGAGAACACTGGCTAGCACGTGCTAGCTGCTATATTCTGCTTGGTCTGGACCGACTTGTGCACGACGACTGGGCCTGCTCCTTGGTCGGGGCAAAATCCCGCATGATCTCACGCAAAGCCAGGCCCTGCGGAAGCAGCAACGCCAACCTGCTGGACACAGTCGTCTCTCTGTGTCCAGAAGAACAAAGAGTGTTTCTGAACGTGGACAAGGTGCTTGGTAGTCTATGGTCTGGAGAGGAAAGCCAGTATAATCCATTTGTTTCACCCAAGGGGCGGTTAACCTACCATGGGTAACAGTCAGTGAGCGCTTGTGAAAGCACTGCTGGTCGCGTGCCCCAACACTGAAACACTTGAGTCTAGAGTCAAAATACTCACTAGAACTCACAGAAAGAGTAAATGAATCAAAACAAACCAACTAGAACTCACTAGAACTCACCCGTTCCCAAACCAACGCTTGATATTCCAAGCTCTTCAATCCTCAAACGTTAGTCTGGAAACTTGGGAACCTGCATGACGTGCATGATGTGGACGTGCATGCGATGTTTTCCCAAGCAACTCGTCTGACGCACGTCTGCAACCTGAGGGCAAGAATCAGCCGAGCAGCTTTATCCAAAACATTCCAGGAAATCTGTCAACTGTGGATCTGGAAGTCTCAAACAACCCAAAACGGCTGCAGGACAGGCCCGGCTGCAGGGCGAACGGCTGTTAGAACGTCAGGGTGTCAGGTTCGGTCTGCGACCGTGCATGCCGGCCCTACAAGCTGAAGCACCGGCCCTACCGAGGCCTAGTCCAACCAAGACGGTTGTTTTTTTTCCAGGGTCGATTTCACCTGCACAGGGAGAGTTCAAATATGTTCAAATCGATCTTCTCAGGATCAAGACCTGTTCAACACCACCACCAACCAACCAACCAAACAAACGACCGACCGACCGACCAACCAAACAACAAACAACAAGCAAGCAAGCAAACAATAGCAAACAAACGACAAAAACAAAAACAACACACATCAACAAACCCACCTCTCCCCATGTGATACCATTTCGCTTCTTGCCCGAGCGGCCACGGGCTTCAGGACTGCCCTTGAGCAGCCGGAAGGTTTAAAACTGCGACATTGAATTCCAATGGCTCCCTGGAAAGATTAAAAGAAAACACAGTTTCTAGAAAATGGTGTTCACATGTTTTCAATCATATTGTCTTATTATGCTTGCCTGACTGCGTGCCAATTGTCTAGATCTATAATATATGTGTTAAAAACCTTGGTTACAGGTGCTAATGACCAATTTTGACCTATTGCTTTTGTAGTAGTTGATAGTAAAGCTCTGAGTGTGTACAGGAGTTCATGTGTTCTTCCATTTTTCTCACTGATGATCTACGCTGAGCAACGACCTAAGGAAACCGTTTTCCACGGCAGTGCTTCGCCTTCGGCGAAACAACTTGGCCGGATGCTCGTTGTCTTGACCAACGAACCCGGGGCCCGGGGCCCGTGCTGGTAAACCTCTTTTTTGATGGGTATGGCCTCTCCTGTTCTACAAGCTTTCCTGAAAATTGTGACGCTGACCTATCTATCGCTGCCTCTCTAGCACCCGGCGCCCTCATCGTTTGTAATCCCATGCCTATACTTCGTACATGCTCCTGTCTCAAGCAGGCCCCACAGTAATTACTCGAAGCACGCACCACTCCAAAGCTTGCTTTGATGCAGGGGGCTGTTGATGAAACAAGTAATGCCTGTAACTATGCCTCTATATATCTATATCTATATGTATGTATGGATGGATGGATGGATGCATGTATGCATGTATGTACATGTATGTACATGTATGTACTTGTATGTACTTGTATGTCTGTCTGTATGTATGTATGTATGTCTGTCTGTCTGTATGTGTGTATGTCTGTCTGTCTGTCTGTCTGTCTGTCTGCATGCATGCATGCATGTATGTATGTATGTATGTAAGTGTGATAGTGTGTGTGTGCACATACATATTTATATTATGCAATTCTTTCCATATGCTACAAGAGACTCCGAATCGCACATTCCAATCCTGCACTCGCCCCGGCCAAAGAGACGGATCCGTGCTCGCGGTTCGTGAAACTGTACCTGGACAGCGCTGGAAACCCTGAGACCAAAGTGGTCAGTCACTCAACTCAACCCACTTCCTCCATCTTTAGGTATCTTTTACTTATCCCGACTCTGGTGGTGGTCAAGGACAAGACATATCCTCAAATCTACCAAGTTTCTCTTGGTGCTGGAAATGCGCAAAACACTGCACACAGTGGAGATAGCTTTAGCAACATCCTGGGCAGGGGGAGGGGGCTCCCCAAAACTGAGCAGGCAACCAGGGGCAAGGAACCGTTTTTGGGGCCTCATTCTCAACATGCCAGATTCAACCACGGTTTTGTGCTCCAAGCTCTGCCTGAAAAAAACAAAGAGCCACCACGATGAGGCCTTACAAAAACACCAAAAAGGTGCGCAACAGTTGCCTGCATCCTCTAGGGCTGCAAGCCTCGGCATAGCGATCAAAAAGAAACCATCGAAGGGGTCCAACTCAATAACTCGGAAGAAGGCGGAGGAAGGGAAGAACTCAGAACTTGATGAGTTGGTCTTTTTTTTGCTGTCCAATCTGAGAGTTTGCAAAAACAGGTGGATAACACTTGAAACCACGAAACGAAATGATTTGCAAGTAGATCAACTCCTTTTACTTTTCTGTCTTGGTACTTGTACTTGCGTTGCCCTTTGTCCTGGGTTGATCAATTTCAATCGGACCAAAATTTCCTAAAGCCCAAGAAACGCCAAGAAGGCCTGTACAGCCGACTCTGTCTTCACAGGGTTCTGGCCATGTGGGTTTGGGGAATTGATGCCTGGACATAAGCCGCTCAGCCAAGAACCCGTGCTGAGCTTGTTCCTCTTCTCCTCCGCATGGTCAAGCCCAATGGCAATCTCTTTGATCTTTGAATCATCAACTGCTGGATATCGATGATGAATTTATGATAGAGTTCACTTGACGACCAGCTCACAGTATCAGCATGCGCGAGCGACGGCGACGTCCCTACAGGTCCCGGTCAACGCCACCCTGGGCCGACCGACCTACGGTGCCTACGAACTCTTCGAGGCATGGAGAAACCATGCCTCGACGTGAAGTAGAAAGACATGCATTGTCATACTGAGAATCACCAACTCATCAACCTGAGTGCAAGTGATGAATTGAAAACCAGAACTCACATTGCTTCACGATATCCAGATCCGAACCGTCGCATCGATGGAACCTAGGGCGGTTCGTATGGCGTATGGCGTCGGCGTAGTCCTCCACAGCCACCCGGCGCAGCTGGTCGATGCGCCGCTTTTCCTGATGGTATGTGGGTGTGCACGGGTGTGCATGTTTCGGGAGACTCCATAGCTTCTGGTTCGTAGTAGCGATGCCCTTGTTGGCCAGGAGCCCTTAGTAGCGTCCTTGCTCCTAGTAGCAAATGCTGCATGTGCATGTTTCGGGAGACTCCATGGCTTCTATTTTAGATGGTTGGTATGTGCATCTTCCTTCCACAGGGTCGGTCTTTCCAGGGGACGGTCGGTTGCAAGAGGCAAGAGGTTGCCAGGGCTACAAACATGGCAAGTAAGTGTGGGCATGATGATGTTCGGAAGCCCACCTAGATGAGTCCCACCCTGGTTTTCATCACCTTGCTGCTGACTGCTTCAATGGCATTGAACGAGCTGGACAACACTCACTGCGGGGAGTCATTGGGTGGCCAACTTGCGACTACCTAGGCGGGTGGGGTGGGTGGACCTGCCACCCAAGAACGAACGTCGCACTTTGTGACCTCTGTGTCTATAACCTTGTCATCCTTGTCTTAGTAGGAAAGCCTGGATGAGCGTGAAGAATGATGTCATGATGCCCTTCTCGGGGAAGGGTGCCTTGTAGTTTTGGGATTCCCATCCAAATTCTCCAGGCAGCGCCCGTGGCTGGCGTTACCGCTCTGCTCCAACAACCAACCCGCTCCTTGCTCTTCTGTTGCCTGAAACGGCGGTCGGCTCACACAAGCTTTGGGGCATCTTATTACTTGGGAGTGCACAATATGTTGGACAATGGCGGTGCGCCAGTCCATGTGAGAAACATCCGGGAAGCGGATGGTAATATTCAAGTGCACACGGATGCCATACATGAATGGCGAAAACATGCGAAAATGTAATGCCAGCAGCTATGCAGCAATCCCACACTCCCATCAAAGTGTTATATACACCTGGTTGGCTGTTAGTGACGACAAATCGTGGTATGGCCGAGGCAAAGTGGAACACCCAAGGACAAGCAAGGAAGAAAAGAAAAAAACTTCAATGAGCTCCGGCATAGGTTTCGTTAGTTTGAATGCCATAGCAAGTTGGCAAAGATTGAGCAACCGATAACCAAGTAAATAACAAACACAAACATATAGACAATTCTCTTAGACGAATATCCATGTAAAAAAACACCTCTTAGGGTGTTGGCTATCCGATTCCTGATTCCTTTGAACTCCATCTAATTTACCATGTTTGCACGGTAAAGTCACATATGTCATATGTCATATATATATATACTTCTTGTTTTGCTTGAGTTGGCAGCAGGTGCAGGAGGCGTGCTTTCCTACACCGATTCTGCCAAGCTGCTCTTCCTTGACACGTTGAAGGTGAAACGGCAAGGGCGGTGGCGGCGGTTGGTTTTTCCTGGCAATTCTGCTGGCATCCACGGCGGTTCCTTGTTAATAACCCTGTAGGGATTCAGCACCAGGATGGTCAACCCCTACCGTAGGGGAAAGGGGGTCTCATCAACTCATCAACAGTCAACATAACAGAGGCGGGATTGGGATGGGAATGAGGGATCTGAAGAATCCGGGATCTGGGGTGGGAAGCGGCAACCCATGTCTGACTGAATGGAGGAAGAGTCCTGGGGTTTGGAATCATATTGAAAAAGGCACGTTGCGCATCGTGTTCTGCCACGGTAAATGTGAGGAAAAGCTAGGACGCCGAATGGTTTTGCGCACGCCATGTGTTCACAACTCCCAACCCCTCTCTCCCTCTCTCTCTTGACGGCTTTTCCCTCACAAACCCGAAAAAACATATTATATATAATATATATCTATATATGTACATATATATTTATGATTATATATACATATATAGTTTTTATAGGATACCCATCGCACCGCTGCCACGCCGCCATGCAGTCCTGGCTTCTCTGCGCTTCGCCCGCTCTTGCTTCGCCTCTTGGATGGCGATCCATTCCTTCCTGGTCAGCGGCGAGCGAGCGAGCGGAGCCACCCCACCAGCGGTCTGGGAGGTCTGGGAGGTGTCCATGCGGAACCATAGCGATGCCCTTTGTTACGTTCGTAGCTTTTTGTTCCTAGTAGTAAGGCCAGGAGCTACTAGTAGCTTCTTGCTCCGAATAGCGATGCCATGCGATGCCCTTTGCTACTAGTAGTTTCTTGTTACTGTGGAATCTCCTTGGCAGTTTGTCCTGAAAGCCAGGATCTTGGTGAACACACAGTGACCTCACTTTCTTTGTTCAAGCCAAGGAGGAGCGTACTCTCGTTTCGAGCCATCGCGCGGGGACGAGCTGCATCCCCACTCGGAGATGCACAGAAAGGGCTGCACTTGGGAGGGCACTCTCCGCATTCAAAGACTTTCTGCATATAAGTGGTTGGGGGTCTCCCTATTCCAGCGCACACTCATGGCCAAACATTTAGTTCAAGACCGTGGTTCCAGTTCTTCTAGTGAGAGCGGTGATTCCGCGTTTGCGCAAGCAAACAGACAGACAAACAAACAGCCAGCCAGGCAGGCAAACAAAAGGATCGATAGACAAAACACCGAACGATGCATGCCTTTCCTTCTCCTTCTTTAGCTCCTCCTTCACCGCCTTATCATCCTGGATCACTCCAGCGTGTGAATCAAGTCTCCCCAAGTGGCCCAAGTACCTAACAAAATGCAAACTAGGGTTCACGGATGTTAGAATATTGGATTGGCTTCAAGGTATATCATATGTGCATTCCAGCATTGTCACTGTCCAACACCCTAAAACGTAAACACCCTCCAACAAGGCCCCACTTCCCTAAAGTGTAAACTCGTATCATTGCAGCAAAATCGCACCAAAAAGGCAAATTATAAATGAATTT